TGCAAGGAGAAGCGGACGTGCCCGCGGACGTGCCCACCGACGTGCCACGTGCAGGAGGAAAGGCGGATTTGTTTCTAGGGAACTCGTATCTCGCAGCACAACCGAAATACTGACGCAGGGTTCCACAGGGATCCACAGGGTTCCTCAGGGATCCACAGGGTTCTGCAGGGTTCCGCAGGCTGCGGCTCTGGCCTGGGGCTGGGATGCGGTGCTGGTGGGAGTGCCATGCCTCAGGAGCCCTCCAAGTCCCATCACTGCCTGCCCGAAACCAAGTTTACACTCCGAGAACGCAATCTGCTCTCACGACAGATTGGAATATCCAAAAAAAGAAAAAGAAAGAAGCCCCATTTATTAATCCCATCAACAACACCTTTCCTGGCTAAGCACAAACCGCCTGATAGGCACAGTCTCACTGATCCTGTAATCTTCCTTTCATCTCTGTCTCGGCAGGCAGCCACAGGGCGTGTTGGCTCAGAGTTTGTGCTCCACCGTCGGGTCCCTGTCACAGCCAGATCTCCTTAGGATCCGCCTGGATACCAGCCTGGGAAGTCTTAAACTAAAGTCCCTGGAAAATTACATTTAGACAACATGTAGTGAGACTCTTCTACTGTGAAAGACCAAAACGCTAAGCTAAAACACACACACACTTGAAGCAATTACGATGCGTTTTTATTTTAAATGTATGTACTTAAGAGGGCAGTCCCGAGGTACGAGACCCATTTGGTTAGTTCTCCCTGTCCTTGTCCTCCCCTTCCTCCATACAGCTGCCTTGCTCAGTTCCTCCCGGCAGGCCAGTTCGTCATCTGTCACGGGGACTCACTAAATGCTTCTGATGGGGCAGGTTCTCAGAAACTGATCTTGCCCCCCGCAGGCGTCGGGGCGACACTGGCTACTTGCTCACCTGAGCTCTCCCTCCTCCTCAGTGGACACGTGGCTGGGCCACCTTTTGTCCCTTCCCTTGCAGCAGGACCGAGTTCTAGTCAGAGAAAGTGGCCAGACGTGCCAATGCCCTGCCCCGGCCAGGCCTCGGGTCCCTTCCCCAGCGGTCCTGGCGCGGTAAGCAGGTGTTGGAGCTGCAGGATGGTGGATCTTGAGCAGAGCTGCCCCTTAGTCAGGACCCCCGCCCCATCCCTGGCTCCGTGCTTTACCAAGCGTGTGTGGTAAGTGGCTGAATCCGGGTCACCTGCTAGAGCAGTCGCTTGAGCGTTCACCGGCGCCCTGTCAGGACTCTCGGTAGCTCTCCACGGGAGGAACGCAAACCGGGTAACCTCTTTCATTCGCTAGAGCAGGGGTCCCCAGCCCAGGCCACGGACATGGTCCGTGACTTGTTAGGAATCGGGCGCATGGCAGAAGAGGAGCAGCTGACCGGCAAAGCTCCATCTTTACTCACAGCCGTGCCCGCCGCTCGCAACGCCACGTCCTGTCCATCAGCAGCGCCATTGGGTCCTCACGGGAGCCCCCGTGGGCCGCCTCGTTGCAGGAAAACGAGCTCAGGCCCCACCGACCCAGCATTATGGTGAGTTGTAGAATTATTTCAGACCAGTGATGGCATAATGCTTCCATCGTTGGACTCGCATGTGGTCAGCTGTGGTTCGAGTCCCAAACGTGGCAGCTTAAACCTCACGCCGGGTGCGTGTGCGTGCATGCCCAGGGTACCAAGAGGAGAACGGAGGAAAGGGGATTGAGGCGTGGCCACCCCGCACGGGGGTGATTTCTCGCTTTAGGTCTCTCTGTCGTCTCTCCAGTGAGCACGCATGCCCTATAGCAAAAATCGCAATCTAAAAAAAAAAAGAAGAAGAAAGAAAGTGCACACTAGCTGTAATGAGCTTGAGTCATCCCAAAGCCATCCCAGCCCACCGGTCTGGGGGAAAACCAGCCCCCGCAGCAGGAACTGAGGAGCGTGCTGGTAGCCCGCCTTTGCAGAGCACTAGGGCGACCTGGCTCCCGCAGGGCACAGGGGAGGCTGAGCCTGGGGCAGAGTGACCTGCGGGCAGACGTGGGCCTCGGGGAGGAGCCGGCTCTCCTGCCCTTGCCCGGCCACCTCACCCCTTTGCTCTGGACACCGGCCCTGAAGAGTCTTTACAGTCTTCCCTGAGCACACCTCGGGCTCTGATTCACCCGCGGCAGGATTTTAGACCTCGGCAGTGGCCACAGCTGCCCTCTCAGTGACACAGAGCTCGCCCTGGTCGGGACAAAGCCAGCGTGGACTCCGGTGGCAGCAGCACGGCCGTGGCCTCCCAGGGCTCTCAGGGGCTTTGGCCACAGGAGTCCCGGCTCTGCCAGACCACGTTCGCTTCCCAGCTATCACTCAGGCACCCTGCATGGATAAGCACCATCAATATTTGTTGGTTTGATTTCTTTTCCTTTTTTTTCCATTTATTTTTTAAAATTTGCTGTAGGGTGTATGCGCTCTCCAGAGAGAGGAAAAGGGAGAAAGCACCCCCAGGTGGATGGCCAGCTATAATCCCTTCTCCTCTGCTCTCCCCTAGGATTTGGAGCACACATGCAAGATGGCTCAGGAGGCACTGAGGGTTCCGACCCTCGGTTGCCAGGTTGGCATGAGCGAGAGTGTCTCTGGGGTGTGCAGGGGGAGGAGGTCTCTCCTTCTCTCTTTACTTACTCATTGAGTTTTATTTACATTCAATTGTTGTGCCTTGTACAGTATACTACATTTTTTTTGAGAGGTTTTTGCTATAGGGTGCATATGCTCTCCAGAAAGACAGAGAGAGAGACAGAGAGACAGAAAGCAAGAAATCACCCCCCAGGGGTGATGGTCACGCCACAATCCCTTCTCCTCCATTCTCCTCTCAGGAGCTTGGGTACGCATGCACACGCGCCCAGCGTGAGTTTAAGCCACTGGGTCTGGGACTCAAACCGCTGTCGACTACATGAGAGTCCAGCGACATAGCCATTATGCCAACTGCTGGTCCCCAGTGTACCATATGGTTTTTAAAAGCATGCATGCAGTGCACGTCGATTAAGTCGATGATATTTACTGTCTATATCATTTCCTCAGAAAACTCCACCGTTGGGAACCAGCAGTTAGCGTAATGGCTGTGTCGCTGGACTCCCACGTAGTCGACCGCGGTTCACGTCCTGGACACGGTGGCTTAAAACTCACACTGGGCGCATGTGAGGGCGTGCCCAAGATCCGAGAGGAGAATGGAGGAGAAGGGATTGCAGCATGGCCATCTCCCCTGGGGGGTGATTTCTCGCTTTCTGTCTCTATGTCTCTCTGTCTGTCTGGCAAGCACACGCACCCTATAGCAAAAACCTCTCCAAAAGAAAAAGAAAACTCCACCGTCACACAGGGACTGCCACTCTCCCCTGGTTTTATAACTTGGACTTTAAAGCCTTAAAGATGTTTTCTAGGTGTTTAAGGAGAGAAGGGGGAAAAATACCTTAGACTGTCTTCAAAAGGTAAACAAACCAAACAGACAAAAGCCATAGACATCACGTGGCTGTCATCTTCCTTTCCAGACCGCTCTGCATCTGTGGCACTCCGGGGGATGGACACGGGTTCTCGGGCTTGCGTTCCTCCCGGGGGAGTGCTGAGTGGCCTAGTGCCTAGGGCAAGGCTTGGCCAGCGCGTTTTCCAAGCGTGGGGTCCAGGACTCAGATGCCGCCGGCTGGCCTGACCTTGTATCCTCAGCTTTATCAAGGCTCAGGGTGAGGTGCTCGGGGCCGGTGGTGCCAAAGCACAACGTGACCTGAAGAGCCCGTGGGTCTTGGAGCCTGCACGCGGGGGGAAGGCCACCAGAGCTGCCTGTCGCAGGGGCAACAAGGAGACTTGCCCCTGAGTAGTCCAGGAATGTGGGACTCTAAGATCGCATTTATTTACTTACTTATTTAGGATTATTTACTTAATTTCATTTATTATTATTTCATTTGCTCCAGGGCACATGCACTCACCAGAGACAGTAAAAGAGACAGAAAAGGAAAGTGAGAAAGCAAGTCACCAGGTCTGGGACTCGAACCGTGTGCAACTATGTGGGAGTTCAGTGCCTTAACCACCATACCACCTGCTGGCCCCACCGTGAGACACAACAGTCCCGTGGGACACAGCAGTACAAGGAGACACAGCAGTCCCGAGGGATACAGCAGTCCTGGACACAGGCAGCAGCCCCAGGGTATGCAGCAGTCTCTCCACAATCAGTAACCCCACACTCTCCAAGGACGGGGTCCAGCTACCAGTGGCCCTTGCTCTCCAAGCCCTTAGCAGCAGGAAGTGTCACCTAAATTAAACCCGCAGGGTGGCACTGTGCATCGGAGCCTCGGGGGTCCCTCACCCACAACCAGCTGGCTTTCCCTGCTAACGTCCCCGGGGAGCTGGCTGAGAGGTGCCAGGTACCTGCCCCAGGCAGGTCTTCAGGCCTCTACCTTCACACCCACTGGGACTTTTTGGTCCTCAGGTGGGAGGTGCTGCCGGTGGCTGGCCAGCCAGGGGGCTGCAGCTGCCCAGCCGTGGAGTGCATGGTCAGCCGGCTCTGCAGGGCCGAGGCCTGCTCCTCCAGCCCCAGGTCTTTGCTTCTAGCATCCCGGGAGGGCCCTCTGCAAGCCGTCGGCGGCCTCTCGCTGGTGGCGGACTTGCCCTGGCTCTCGTCTTCTTCGTCTGGGAGCTCGGTCCATCTGGACACAATGGACTCCCTTCCTGGGCTGTGGGCGCCCTCCTCCCCCGCGCGCATGCCAGGGTGGGTGTGCACGCCCTCCACCCCTGAGCCGCCCCCCTCGTGGCCCGCAGATAGCAGGGCTGGGCACTCCTTCTGGGTAGAGGGGCTCCTGGCTCCCCGCTGGCGGCCTGGCCTCCTGCGGGCCCTCCTGCGCAAGCTGCAGACCAGGTCGGCCACACCGAGGAAGAAGGAGTGCCCGCTGACTGCCCAGAGGAACAGCATCAGGATGGACTTCTCCGTGGGCCGCGACACGTAGCAGTCCACCACGCTGCTGCACGGAGCCTGGGTGCAAGAGAATGTCTTCGGGACCTGGAATCCAAAGAGGAAGTAGTGCGAGGCCCCCAACGCTGCCTCCACCAGAGTCCGCAGACAGAGGTGGGCGATGTAGCCGGAGCAGAAGTCTGGCACCATCAGGGGACGCCGCTCCCTGCAGGGGCGTGGGCAGGTCCTGTCCCCAGGGCCCAGGTCAGGGTGGTGGCCGCCGGGACCTCCGTCTGAGTCGCAGAGTCTGCGGGCGGCCAGTGTGGCTCCTTTGTGGAGGACGTAGACGCTGAACACGGCGTAGGGCAGGAGGACAGACAGGCCCTGGACGAGCCAGAACCGCAGCGGGGACACGGGGGAGAAGAGGTCGTAGCACACGTTGGCGCACCCCGGCTGCAGAGTGTTGCAGACGAACTGCTCCTGCTCGTCCTGGTAGACAGGGTACCCTGCCAGGACCACCACCGCCATCCTCAGCAGTACAGTCACGACCAGCCAGACCTTCCCTAGGAAACAGGCAGGGTGGCCTCGTTACCACCATGCAAACGCACTTCCTGCCGGCCGCAGCCTGGAAGTGTGTCCGGCAATGCTGACAAGTCAGTTAGCCGGCTTGGTCCCAGTAGCAGGCCACTGGTTACCTTGCTTGACCAACATCTACTGAGCGCTTACAGAGCGCCAGACATGCACTGGGCCTACTTGTCTAGGATGGTTCAAGACGAGCAGATTTTTAAAAGAAGGATGGTCAGCACCCCAGAACCAGCATCTGCCATGGCCCCTCAGCCTGGTGACATTCAGACATTCAGACACTGGTGCACTGCACTGAACAGGTACTGACGTTTGTTTTTCTCTTTCTCTTTTCTTTTCTTGTCATTAGTCCTTAGATGATACAGTAAAACAACTGCGTATCGTTTTTACTTTTTTTTTTTTTTTTTTTTTTTAGATTTTTGTCACAGGGTGCATGGGCTGACCAGAGGGACAGAGAGAGGGAAAGTGAGGTATCCCCATCCCAAGGGGGATGGCCATGCTGCAATCCCTTCTCTTCTATTCTCCTGGAATTCCGCCTGTGATTTTCAAGCCACCGGGTCTGGGACTCCAACCATGGTCGACCATGTAGGAGTCCAGTACCTTAACCAGCATGCTATTGGATTTGATATTATAAGTAGTCTAGAGATCAGTTAAAGTATTCCAGAGGCTGTGCCTAAGGTTATTGGCAAATACGATGCCTTTTTGTGTTTTGCTTTTTAACACTTGCCGGAGAGAGCAGAGAGAAAAATCACCCCCGGAGGAGAGGAAAGGAGGGAGATGGCCCCGCCCCAACCCGGTCTCCATTTTCCTCTCAGGATTTTGGGCAGGGAGGCAGACACACACCCCCGGCGTGATTCTCAAGCCCCAGGGTCCAGGACTCGAACTGCGCAGCTGGTCATATCTTAACCTCCACGCCCCCTGCCAATCCCACAATGCCATTTCATTCAAGGCATCTGACGGCTGCGTCTTTGGTATCTCTGGGGGTCCGAGAATCTTTCCCTGAGGACCCTGAGTGACAACTCCATACAAGTGTCTTATTCTGACCCCGCCAGTTCGAACTTCGGGCAATCTCTCCTGAATGGAAAGGTCCAGAAAGAAAGCTGGCTGAGCAAATCAAAGTCGTGAATAAGATCTCACCCTTCTTAGGAGAACGAGCCTGTGAAGGGGTTCCGGTACCCCTGTGGCTGTGTTTGGCAGCTCACAGCTGTTAACGTCAGTCTTTGTCTCGGGCAACACCTCGAGAGCTCTCTGATTCCAGAGCTTGTGTTTAATATTGCGCTAAAGGTCCTTGAAATTGAACTCCTTCAGAACCGTTCCATTTTTCAGGTATTTTTCAATCGTTCAGGGTTTCTTTCTCCCATTTCAGTTTCTCTGAATTAATGAGGCTTGACTTTCTTCAATTTATCATGAATGAAAGAGACCAACCTAGGAAACCAAAATAACTTCAAAGCCCTGTCTCCATGTCATAGGTCAACTATTTTGGAACATGTTTCAAACACAGCCAAAATGACTTGTAAATATTGTGTTTTCTGACAAGATAGAGAAAGTATCGCCCAACATCAGAAAAACAAAATTCTATTGTAAACAAGGGCGATTAAACTCAAAGGGTAATATCCTGCCCTGTATTAAAGTCCTTGACTTGAACTTTTAATTCTAAGCCGATTTTGCTTAGATCCTACAAAATAAAGATTTAAAAAGTACCAACCTACATCTTGGGTGTACATGAGTGAACTTCAAACAGTTCACGGAAAATGGAATTAAAATATGAGTTTATTTTAGTGGGGGAAAAAAAAAGAAATCCCTTCATAGCTTTCTCATAGTACACATTTCCAGACATTTCTGAAGGTCCTTCAGATTAGGTCTTTTCTCGGTCCCTTTTTCTGTGATGCCCATATCTCTGAAAATTGGACTCATTTTCATCAGACTCAGAAATCCTAATTAAAACGTTGTTTAAAAAATAACTAAATAACATCGAGATCTGGTGTCACGTGCACAAAGGAGATGCTCATCTTTATAAACTTAGCTTGGACAGTGAGATCGAAAAAGATGAGCAGGAAGACAGCATCACCCGGGCGTTGCTTCTCATTAGCCCTCACTGTGGTTCTCCTCTTCCGGGTAAGGGAGCCGGAGAACGGGCACAGCGAGCACCCCTCGCACCGGCCTCAGTCTTCAGACCGGCGTCCGACTATGGGCGCCAGGAGGCCTGTGGAGATCCGGGCCCACACCCCGCCTCCCCACAGTGAGAGTAGAATGGCAGGGCAGTGGGAAGAAAGCTGGAGCCCGCTGCTCTCTTTCTTCCAGCAATAAATACACGGGCCTTTTGTGGGCGGATGGGAACAGCTCGGGGACACAGGCAAAGTAAACATTAGAAAATACCTTGACCCTTTGAAAAAGACTTATTTCAAACATGGCAACAACAACAAAAATAAAACAAAAAGACACACACACACACACACACACACACACACACACACACAAAATAGAGATCAGCCCCTGTTGCTTATTGGTTAAGGGAGCTAGAACCCACATGGCTACCTGCAGTTCGAATCCCAGCCCAGCAACTTGAAAAGCACACTGGGTATGTGAGCATGTGTGTCCAAAGTCCCAAAAGGAGGGAGAGATGGAGGAGAGATTGCAGGATGACCGCGTCCCCCTGGGGCTGGAGGGGGCTTTCTCCCTTCTCTGTCTCTCTCTTTGACTTTCTCAGACAAGTAGATGTGCCCTTGGCGATTAGGAAAAGAAAAGAAGCACAAGTGTGGAGGTTCCCAGTACTCACCCATGATGGTCACGTTGCAGTTTAATGTGACAATGAGGAGCCCCAGGGAATCCGGTCTCTCCATGATGGCAGGATGTCACAGACCACAGGCTGCCGGAGACGCTGGAGGCCTGCGTTCTCCAATCGGGTGGGAATCCTTGCAGGAACAAGTGTGTTTTGGCTACAAAAGACTGAAGGTAACAGTTGGAGATGGGAAAGGAAAGGCTTGAGCCCCAGAGTAGGAGGTGAGTTTTTCTGGCTCCAAGTCAAGGGGGCCTCTGAGGCCGTGCCTTCTGACAACTGCAGTGACCAGGCGGCGCAGTCCTGTCTTACTGGAGGCTATTCTTACCCTCCTGGGATATTCCAGGCCTGAGCCGTGCTCATCTGTCTCTCCCAGGACAGCCTGACGCGTCGGGGTATAATGGAAACAACTACTTTTAGCCCAAGAAAGCAAGCTTCTGTTCATGAGTCAAGTAAACATCCTTATTAAAAAGGCATTTCCTGGGCTAGCCGGGTAGTGCAGTGGTTAAGTGCTGTGCATTGGCAACCAGATCCCACATAGCCGAGCACAGTTCGATTCCCAACCCCGGCAGCTTGAACGTGCTGGCACATGAGCATGCGTGCCTGAAATCCTGGCGAGGCGGTGTGGGGGAGTGGGAAGAAAGGATTGCAGTCTGACCACGCTGCATTGTGGGGGTGGGGGAGGCTTTCTCTCTTCCTGTCTCTCCTTGAAAACATCCACACAACCATTCCACTTGGGAAACAAGGCCTAGAACAGTCACGTTTTGTCTTCTCTTTGAAGCCTAACCCACTACCCCCAACACATAAACTCAAAAGAATATTTTTTATTATAATTTCTTATTTTTTTAAGGTTTTTGCCATAGGGTGCGTGCACTTGCCAGAGTGGGCAGTGACAGAGAGAGCGAAAGTGAGATGTCACTACCCCCTCAGGACCATGTCCATGCCACAATCCCTTCTCCTCCATTTTCTCCTCCATTTTCCTCCTAGGATTTTGAGCATGCACACGCATGCACTCAGCATGATTTTCAAAGTGCCAGGCCCAGGACTCAAACCACAGCCACATGGAGTAGTCTGGCACCTTAAGCACTACACCACCTGCTGGCCCTGAAACCCGCAAGGATCTTGCCTTTATTCCGAATCCTGTACCACTGATTCAAGCGCACATGCGTGCCTCGGCCACGTGGCCAATGGTAACTGCCACCTGGTGACTCCCCAGGGGTTAACCTCCTTGAGGTTAGAGACAGGAGCTCTCCATTCAGAGACAAGAGGCCTGGGACAGCCTGGGGCAGCGCTGGGGACATCCATCCGCGCTCCAGCTCAGCTCGCGGGAGGCACGCGTGGAAGGAGGCTCGGGCAGCCCTGGCGTGGTCCTGGCGTGTGCCCAGCAGGGTTCCGCCACCAGCCTCGGAAACTTTGCCTCTGCGTCTCCCGTCTAGCAGAGGGCTGCGCTCACTGACTCTGCTTCAGACGCGTCATTAAATCTGTAATAAGACTCCCATCTGGACCTACTGACTTCAATCACGGCCACATCAAAATCCTATCCCCGAGTCACCTTTAGACCCAGGCAGGTCCCACCCCCAGGCTGGGTCTGTCATCAGGGTGGAGATTATGAACTTTGAAAAGAATGGTCGCAATTTCCAGGAAAGCTCTCTTCTCTGTCCCTCTCTTTTCTTCATGTCTGATCTATTCCGGACTTTAATAATATCCCTAGAAAGAGTCCCAGAAGAGAATTGCAGCAGAGCTGCCTTCATCTCTACTCGTCTGACGTCTCCATTCACAGACAGCATCCCCAGCCCCTCGCAAGGGATAGCGTTGCTATATTTTAGTCAAATGCTTTGACATTTAGAGAAACCATAGCTAAGAGAAAATATTGAAATAGTCATACACGATGCAAGGATGAAATAGAGGGCAATACCGTTGTGTCCTGATTGTTCACGATAGCGGCTTAGAAACTGAAGTAGCAGGACCAGCAGATGGTGTGATGGTTCCTTCGCTGGACTCCCACATAGCCGACTGCGGTTTGAGTCCCAGACCCAGTGACTTAACACTCAGGCCGGACATGTGTGCATGAGTGCCCAAGATCCCGAGGGGAGCATGGAGGAGAAGCGATTGCGGCGTGGCCATTCCCCCCAGGGGTGATTTCTCAAGTTCTGTCTCTGTCTCTCTGGCAAGGGCACATGCCCTATAGAAAAATCTCTCTCTAAAAAAAAAAAAAATGAAGTAGTGGGACCAGCAGGTAGCACGGTGATTGAGTCGCTGGACTCCCATGTGGTCGACTAAAGTTCAAGTCTCAGACCTGGAGGCTTGCTTTCTCACTTCCCTGCCCCCAACACTCTCTCTCTGTGTCTCTCTGGTGAGTGCATATGCCCTATAACAAATTAAAATAATAATAATAATAAATAAAATTTAATAAATAATTCTTTAAAAAATGTAGTTTTTAAAAAAATGAAATAGCAGGAAAGCCGTCTTTGAATTTCATTGTGTGGGAGAAACAGCTATCCCAAACCCGGCGGAAATCACAACCGCGTGACCTTGAGCGGGTCTCGAGAGCCCATTGTGCCTCAGTTTTCTCATGAGCAAAGTAGGAAAGAGAACACGCCTTTCACCTACTCAGGGAGGTTGTGCCATGCAAGGTGGGACACGGACAAGGAGATGGCTTTCAAATACAGAGGACCACAGGTCATCTCAGGGTCTGCTCCCTGCGTCCCCATCCTCTGTCTCTCTTCTTGTTCTGACTGCATGGCACAGAATTGCGGCACAGCCATCCCCCTGCGGGGTGATTTCTCATTTTCTGTCTCTCTGTCTCTCCAGGGTGAGTGTACATACCCTACAGCAAAAATCTCCAAAAAAGAAACCAAGCATGAGTCATGGCAGGACATGGTTGAACCGCACAGGACGCCGTCTGTGATTAGCAAAAAGGGAAAAAAAACCGCTGAGTCACCGGCTGCTGGGCCTCGGTTTCATCTCTCTCTAGCTTAGTGAGTTTGGCACATTATTTGGGCCTCAGTTTTACCATTTATAAATTGGGGATACTGACATGTAACTTGCAGGGAATGAGAGCTAGGTTCATCTAAATAGTGTTCTATAGTGTTCTAGTACCTTATTTTGGGCCTACAGGAAGCTCTCAGAAAATGATAAGGCCAGTCATGGGAGATTCAGTTAGCATACATAATGGCTATGTCACTGGACTCCCATGTAGTCGACCACAGTTCAAGTCCCGGACCCAGTGGCTTAAACTCATGCCGGGCGCGTGTGTGTGTGTGCCCAAGATCCCGAGAAGAGAATGGAGGAGAAGGGATTGCAGCATGGCCATCCCCCCTGGGGGGCGATTTCTCGCTTTCTGTCTCTCTGTCGCTCTCTGTCTGTCTGGCGAGCGCACACACCCTATAGCAAAAACCTCTCCAGAAATAAAAAAGAAAATGATAAGGCCAGTCAGTTCTCATCAGTCATGGTGGTTCCTTTTTTTTAAAAAAAGAGGTTTCTGCTTAAGGCCTATGGACTAGCTGGAGAGAGAGAGAGACAGAGACAGTGAGATGGAAAGTGAGAAATCACCCCCGGGGGATAACCATGCCATAACCCCTTCTCCTTTTCTTGTGATCTTGGGTATGCATGCGCATGCACCAAGCATGACTTTGAAGCCACCAGGTCTGGGACTTGAACCGTGGTCAGCCATGTGAGAGTCCAGCAACATAACTGCTATGCCATGTGCTGGTCCCCATGGTGGTTACATTTTATAAAGTTGCCACAGGCTGAATTAGTGAGTTCTAGGGGGCTTCTTAGGGAAATACCCGGTCAGGTTCCTACGACCTCAATCATATTTCCAACAACCAGGTAATGCACAACCTTGTCTCAAACAGTGCAAGTAAAAGATAAAGGAAAATACCTTTGTGTGGATGTGCAGTGACACTTCATTTACCATAACTGGTGTGTGTTTAATATATAGCGTTAACTTGGGGTGAGCAGGTGTCATGGTGGCTAAGGCACTGGACTCTCACATAGTCAACCTTGGTTCGACCAGTGGCTTGGGCATGTGTGTGCCCAAAATCCCAAGAGGAAAATGGAGAAGGGATTGCAGCATGGCCATCTCCCCGGAAGGTGGTTTTTCACTTTCCTTCTGTCTCTCTCTCTGGCAAGCACAGGCACCCCATGGCAAAAACCTCAAATAAATACATAAGGAGAGGATTAACTTAGCCGTAAGCACACGACCTCAGCGCTGTACCTTATGTCTGGGCAAAGTTTCCAGCCCTGCACTTGCTCTGGAAGGCCCATCACACTTACAGACACAGCACTTCCGCACTACTGCGCTCAGGGCCATTTGAAATGGCAAACGCTCCCATGAAAAGCGCGCACACAGAATGGCACTACACAGATCAACGACGCACACCTGTTCAAGTAGGAGAGCGTGCTAAAAGGGCCTGGTACCACCGTGCTTGGCTGTGGCTGAGAGGTGCCTGCTGGGGCCACCATGGGTCATGCTGTGCACGTTTCCCCAGATGCCTGCAGAAGCATCACAAGAAGGATCTGTTCTAAAAGCAATTTCAGTGGGAGGCCAGGTTTCAGTGGTGGGTGATTTCAGTGGACACCTGGATTCCAGTGGGTGGGTGGATTCCAGTGAATGGCTGGATTCCAGTGAGTGGGTGGATTCCAGTGGAGTTCTAAGAGGGCCTGGTCCCACCGTGCTTGGCTGTGGCTGAGAGGTGCCTGCTGGGGCCGCCATGGGTCATGCTGTGCATGTTTCCCCAGATGCCTGCAGAAGCATCACAAGAAGGATCTGGTCTAAAAGCAATTTCAGTGGGAGGCCAGATTTCAGTGGTGGGTGATTTCAGTGGACACCTGGATTCCAGTGGGTGGGTGGATTCCAGTGAATGGCTGGATTCCAGTGAGTGGGTGGATTCCAGTGGAGGGATGCATTCCAGTGAGTGGCTGGATTCCAGTGGGTGGCTGGATTCCAGTGGGTGGCTGGATTCCAGTGGGTGGCTGGATTCCAAGGAATGGGTGACTTTCAGTGGGTGGCTGGATTTCAGGGGGTGGATGAATTTGCAGACCCCGATCTGTGAGCGGTGA